AGTCCCTTGAGTCATTCTGTCATAAACTGGTTCATTTACAGAGAAAATCAGACAGGAAATATTGTGGACATTCTAGACGGTATTTCCGTTTTATTTAAATAGCCATCCTTTGTCTACAGGAATTCAAACAAAGCTACAAAATTCCAAGATAACTTGTTATTTTTCATTTTAAATGGGATAATTGCAGACATTTGTAATAATACAATTATAAGAAAAAGAAATTTGTTTACAGTTTATAACCAATGATCTTTTAAAACTAATTTATGAGACATGATGAGGAAAATGAAAAAGACCTACAGTTACAAAAAATAAATGTAACAAAATATTACTTTTTTCTATACCTTTTTGCACCAACAAATCAAATCAAGTTGTGTGCAATGAGGTAAATTTAGTCCCTGTATACCATACTATATAAACTAGAAACAGTGATATTGATAAAAGAAAGTAAAGAGTTATAATGATGGTTAGAGAAAATGTTTTTATTTCAGTAGTTGAAAGATAAAGGGTGATCATTGTAATCGGATATGATTATTTTATAATAATAATCTCAGTAAGAAAGGCGAACAGTTGAGATTGATGATTAAATCCCACTTAAAATAGATTTTTGACAAAGACCAGCAGCTGTAAAAGTAGGGAGCATGTTTTCATGTGTTTAAATTACAGCACCTGAAACCTAACATAAATACAAAACTGTCTGAATATATTCAACATTATCATATACATAGCTCAACATTTCAAATCTCTGTCTACCTGCCATCAAGATATCTTGTCAATACGTCTTAAAATATGGCTTCCTTCATCGTTTATCTCAAAACTGACACAGGAAGAGGTTGTTTTGAGGTTTTTCTGGGAGGGTGTTTTTCATGTTTGCTTCAGATCAGCATGACAACAGTTGTCATAATTATTATCAGGTCAAAATATCAACCCACCAAACTAGATCAGGCACTCTTATCTTTGGGAGGTACAAAAGATACCAACTCTCTTCAAAGTGAGGAAGAAAAGATATCCAGCTGTCTGTGAACAATGTTGAAATATATTTTACAAAAAGATTAATTGTGTGGTATCTGACTACAAGTAAAAAAGGACTTTATCATTGAAGATGGTTCAATTCTACCTTCCACATTTTAACCTAATTATTTTGATATTCTACAGGATAGACTTTCTGGTCATTCTCAATTACAACTAAACTAACCTTTTTACACTCAACCTGTCAGTAAGAAAATAGTTAATGGTGAAGTTAATTAGATACAATTGTAGTTTTTTTCCTGAAAACTGTAGTCTACACACTGTATTCAGATTCTTGTCAATATCTTTTGATGCTTGTTAGCCAGATGCTGACAACCAATTTGAGTCATCAAACAATAATTTGTGGACAAAAAGTCTGTAGTTTGAGTCAGACTTGAACCTGTACATCACCAGGAAGGAGCAAGTAACTGATAACATGTAACATAAACATGCTGATTAATATGAAAGATAAAAATTCAAAGCCTGAATTATTGCTAAAAGAAAAATGGATATAGGTTTTTGCTTGCAGCACCTGTCTGAAGATGTTTAGTGGATAAAGAGTTAATGTAACTATTGAATTCTGCCAGTGATAAGGTAAAATAATCTATCAGAAGCTATTATTATAGAAGAGTAATAAAGGAATTTAGCTTACAGGATGATTAATTAACTAACACCAGAACAGATTCTGTATCTTATTATATTGATTCCATAGCTTTATCCATTTACAATACCCAATTGTTCTCTGATGCTTGTTAGAAAAAAGATCAAAGTGTGTTAACGTCTGGCCAATAATGACCATCTATATATGTCTATTTTTGGTATTCTGAGATCAATAAGTTTATTATATCATTATATGAAAGGATGTGTTTCAGACTGGAACTTATTTTACTTCCATTAAAACTGATTTAACTTGACAACATTCTGCCACGTGTTATACCACATAAATCACCTTTCTTGTCCATTGGAGGTTAATGACCAGCACTTAAACAACTTTCAGACAAATTGACTCTGGCTAGAAAAAAACTTGAGTGCTCATTTGAAGTCTGAACTGGAGCTCATTTGAAGTCTGAACTAGAGCTCATTTGATGTCTGAACAAGAGCTCATTTGATGTCTGAACTGGAGCTCATTTGAAGTCAGAACTAGAGCTCATTTGAAGTCTGAACTAGAGCTCATTTGAAGTCTGAACTAGAGCTCATTTGATGTCTGAACTAGAGCTCATTTGAAGTCTGAACTAGAGCTCATTTGATGTCTGAACTAGAGCTCATTTGAAGTCTGAACTAGAGCTAAATTAAATGGGTAAAAATCAGAAATTACTAGTAAATGCTGCAAAACCATGAATAAGAAGTGATCTCCACCTCACTAAACCTTCATGTTCTATAAGCACCATCTGAGACACGGTCACAAACCAGTGTCAATTTTAATGTCTAAGATGCTTTGAAATTTAATAAAGGAAGGAACCAGAGGAATCTGTTGTCTCAGAATATTTCCATAATGACATGCTTAAGGGTTATTTAACCTCTCCAACTATGTCTGGAACCTTGAAACACATCAAAAGCATCTGAATACAGCCCTGGGTTATTACATGATCATCTTATTAAAAGAGACTGGGAAATGGGTTTTTAGGTAAAATTATCCTCAGGATATTTATGAATCTCTTCAAAATGTCAAAAAGCCAGACAAAGTCTTATATTACATGTCTATTACATCATAATGTGATTATAATTCCTCTAAAACTAATCCATCAAATCGGAACATTGGCTTCAGGAAGTCTAGTACATCAGACATAATGATCGGAAACGGGACTATTTCCATATCTGGATTATCAGGAATAATCACATACTATACTTCAGAATTGCAATTCAACATCTGCCAAGACATTTAAAGTCCAATATTAACAACCTAGCCACCATTTCCAAAAATACTTTCCTAACTCTGGAGAATTTCAATTTACCAGAATCCAGTCTAGTAGCCCTAGTGGGTGGTAAAGGTGAAAGTCTAAGGAATTTTACTTCCAAGTTTCCACAACTTTTCAATTTTGACAAGGCATACAAACTTACAGTACAGGAAGCCTTGGATTCCTAACACATATCTATATAAAAAAAAAACACTCTTGCGGATATAATCCTTACATAAGTATGGTATCTACTGTTCAAGGCAAGATCAAGATCTTTAAGAGATTTTCTAGCTATTTATGGCTTCTATTTGCACCAATTTACTATCTATGGTTTCTGCATATGATGTCATTACAAAAGCTTTGAATAATATCTAAGAGCCTTTGCCTTAGTTACGTCATAAAACACTTAGGTGGAATTAGAAGACCCACAGACTTCTGAAATGAAATGGTGCAAATCAATGATATCAATGTCCCTGATATACATTAAAAAAATCCCTTTGAGCCAAGAGCTGGAATCAAATAGCCACAAGTTGTTGAAACCATTCAGTACACATGATTGGAAATTCACTTTTCAAATTTAGAAAGTGAGAACTTGTAATAAGCAATAAACAGAAACATCAAAGCCATGTATGTCTTTTCAGCTGCCATTGTGTAATATAAAGTCATTGAAAGACTGCATTATATCAAGTCTAGGTCAATTTGAACCTTCAGTAAGAGATATTGCAGATATAATTGAATGGTCTGAAGATCTTTCTATAGATCAATTCAAAATTTATTTTTCAATTGCTGTTGTCTTCATAGAAAATCTCAAATCAAAGCAACATAATCTTTTCAAATGAACAATGAATGAAATAGAGTTTAATGGTGTTTTTTAAGATTAACACAGAATGTCGGAGGTATATAAAGTCTATTTCTAGTTTATAATCTTATCCATGAAATTATAAGATATGTATGGTTTTATTACTCATAATGATAAGATATCTGTAGTCAGATAAGATAATGTTTATATATGTTTTATCAAATACTGGTATATCTTGTCACATGTAGCAAATGGATTTTAATTTGAGTGAATGAATACTCAAATGCATGAATAAATGAAAGATTGAATAGATCAATGAATGAATGAATAAATAATAATAAATAAATGAATATGTAGATGGATGAATGATTAAACACATGAATGAATGAATGAATGAATGAATGAATGAATGAAAAGATGATTACAGTAACCAAATAAATAACTACATAGATATATCAATGTATGATTGAATGAAAAAAAAATAAACATGAATGAATAAATGAGTGAAAGAAAGAATGATTAAACACATGAATGAATGTGTAGATGAATGATTGAATGAAAACATATTAAAATTCTAGAATTGAGGTAATAATTCTTATAAATGCACATATCTTTCTTTCATTGGCCTTGACATTTCTTCTGATCTCAGAAACTGCCACTCTGTAAGATTTCTGTTCGAGATCTTAAGAAACCTTTGAATTTTCTACAAAGTAAATTTTTTGTTACATTTCAAAAGACCTCATTTCACATTAAAGAATTTAAAGTGAAGAATTTTTTAAGAATTTTTTGTCATGTTTATGTAATATTTGGAAATTGTTTATGCAAGACATCAAGACAGTTAGGTGTGGTTTTAACTTCTCAACCATTTGAAACTGTTTTTAACAAAGTGATCACTGGTAGTAGAATGTCAAATGTCATGCTGTTTCTCTTATTACAAAGTGTTTGACTTCTTCTATGATGTGATGGACATTTCCTAACACATGAAGTGTATGTTTAATTGTTGTCAGATGAGGTTTTAACCAATATCATGTCTTGGAGGAATGGTGTAATGCGTATGTGAATATATATAATGCTATTGATTTCCCTTATAGTCATAAGGCAGGTAATGCTGACTTCTAACTAAGCACTACATGCAATATGTCTCTGAATATTCAGTTGGCTTTGAGTGAATTTATTTTTATCATGTAAATGGATAAAGTAGAGTATGTTTTAGCTGGTGTTTTATATCTATTTGTGAAAAGTTCTTACTGCAGTGTATGATGTATAAATAGTGCTTGCTTGATAAAAAAAAAAGTACTAACCTTGATGGAATCAAAGCAGGCAATAACTCGACCATTCTGTACTTCAACATGGGGCGGAGGATGAGCAAATTTACATTCTTGTTCTGTTCTCGTGCATTTATTCCTTTGAAACTCCCGGCAAACTTCCAAAGTGAGCCATCGTGAGTCCTTAACATTTGGATTATTAACCAAGTTTAACATTGGATTAACCATGGCCATAACAATAACCTTGGATTACTTTGAATAAAAAGTTTGAAAGACTGTGGCTTTAAACACAAAACAATAATAACAAGCGAATAAAGTAAAATAGCACTAGTGTTTATATAGCCTAAATTAAGCTATAGTTAACTTAAATATAACACTAAATATATCGTATATATATGATGATTAATACAAATTTTAAAATATAATGGACTCCACTTGGCAAAATCCATAAAATAGTCAAAAAGTTTCTACACAAAACACTAGGTAGATGTAAACTGTTGACAGTAATAAGCTGACTCAATTAGGATTTGTTGTAATTCCTCCTAAACTCTCTTACCAATCTGAAAATAGACAAAAATAAACACATAAATAAATAAAAATTCAACCTTAAAACATACTGTATATTTGTGGTATAGTGTAGGTTTTTACCCAATGAAGGGCTAGTCAAACTGGGGGTGCACATTATAGACGGTGACAACAAAATTTCAAATTTTCACTAGAGGTTCCCAGTCAATATTGACAGTCCACCATTTTGTAAGAAACTGTGAATTCAACCTCAAAACATAAGCGAATGTAAATTTCAACCTTAAAAAATGTATTTAGCAAATTCCAGTAGATACAACATACTTGTATAGCTTAAATGAATCAAATATTTTTAAAAGTCTTTGGCATATTCCTGCAGGGGCATAAAAAGTCCTAATGTTATTTGGTGTTTTTACTGCAAGTTCAAAATTCTACAGATATTGAAAAGTGGCTCAATAACATGAATGATAATAAAAAAAAAAATTCTGCTGAAAATATTCTTAACTAAACAAAGATATCAACAGTGCAGAAACTATTTTAATACTTTCTGACATTGCTTATCAAAACTGTCATATATAAAGTGCAACTATTAGACAAGATATATCAATATATGTCATAAAATTCAATTTAAAAAGTAAAACAAACATTTTATTATTGACATTTATAAACCGATAAAATTAATCGTCATAAAATATATGGGTAGGCGTTCAATTGTTAAATGTTTTCAGAATTAAAAGCTTCTATTTATTTAAGGTATCATCAAGTATACTTCAACCGTTTCCAACATTTATTCCGTAATTCTCAATTCAGCAAGAACAAATACAAAGAATAAAACAGGACAGGAGAAAAAAAGGGAAGAAAAAAAGTTCTAGCAGATAGTTATTTTTCTACGATTATCTGAAAGTATTTTAAATCTAAGAAGTGCTTGACCGGTCTCCCAGGGTTTTAAATACAAGAACAAACAAATGATACTGTAATAAATATTACAGCAGAAATCCCACCCAAAATTTTCAATCTTCATGGATGAATGCAAAGTTGAGTTCAAAACACAGGTAAGCAAGTGATACCTGTAACTATCAAATTTAACTTGACCTCTGTCTTAAGGTCATTGTTACAATCCACATACAAGAGGCCTAAACATCTTCATTTCAGTCAAATAAACAACTAACAAATTAAAAAGAACAACCCAGGAGGCCTTTTGGATTATTGACAAAATTTTAAAACTTTCAAATTCAAATATTTTCTTGGACAGCAAAACAACAATTGAAGCATTGATTCTTGAAATTTGACCTCCATCTTACAGGTCAGTTTTATACAAAGTAAACATGTTGCCTTGAGCATTACAATTTTATTGAAATATATACCACAGTTTAGCTGATAAAGCATGTACCAAACTATTGACCTTCATTTGAAATGTTTATAAAAATAACACTCCCATAGGTTAAACGCTGATACATTACTTTTTATATATACACGCTCAAATTATGCACAAAAACCTGCACGATGACCTTAAAGGGCTATCATGTGATATTTATTCATGTTCTCAGGGAAAAAAATGTACCTGCACTTTCAAAATAAGGGTGAACAAGTGAAAATAATGATATTGATGGAAGGATACTAATTACTTGTCAAATTCAAGTTAATTAATCACCTCTTTCATTAATTACTTTTATTTTTCTCTCAATTAAAAGAGAGGTGTGACTTATAACAGATAGGTACAGACTTAAACTTAGCTTAAGGCAATTTCATTTTTTTTCATTCAAAATATTAATACCATTATTCCTTCTATGGTATAAATTTGACATGAACGCATAAACAATAGGGCAATAATAATAATAAAACAGTTTTTAATTTCAAGCCCAGACTGTATTTTCTTGCATAAGGAAACTTCAATGTTGCAAAAGTTTTGCAAACAAGGATATGACTTATTTCGCAATTTCAAGTTTTGAAATCGCGCTAAAAATATGTCTCCTACATCCACTTTAAATATCCACACCTTGTGGGCCAAGTTTTAATTAACCGGTTTTATTCACCGACTTCACCTTAGTTTATTCCTCAACATGATATGTTATAATATTATAATATGTCATAATAACAAAAATCAGATAACTTACTGCACTCCCTTACTTTACTGATTTTAAACACCTTATTTCTTAGAACGTTTTATACTTGCAGGGTGAAGCACATCTGTATATCAATATTCATGAAGTAAAAAATCTAAAAACCTCACATTCTGGTGATGCCTATTTTAGAAAGTGTATGTTCATATTGCCATGTTCCCATGTCATCCAATCCTGTCAAGAATCTATTTGAATAAAAAAACAAACCTTTAGAAGAAATTTTGAAAAATATTGTATGCATCTATATCATCTAGATTAATATGCTATTGCATGAATCAGTTTGGAAAATATTACAGATATTTTGGTAAAACCCCTGAATTACCCTAAACAGTTGACCTACAGTTGAAATGTTCCCATGTCAAAGATATATCAGGTGATAGAAATGTAAAATGTCCTGGATGTAATTAATGTGTCATTTTATGTAAAATAAATATCTGTGATAAATAATAGATGCTATTTTTATGTCACATGCATTCAACATAAATAACTTGCATGGCCTTTTTGTAAGAACAGTTGAAGTATTGCCCTTTTCAAGCAGTCATAGTGACATTCATAAGCACTGTATAAACTTCTGTTGGGAGAACAATACTATTTTGTATTGTACAACACCAAGATTTGATATGATACATAGTTTTTGGAAACTTTACATGACTTCATTTGCAGTCTTAGCAAAATGTTCCTCATTTCATCCTGCATGACGTTGCCTGCCTCCATTCGCCAAATGGTGCAGAAAAGTAGGATGTAAAACTCCATTCATTTCCTTTCATTTATCCTAATTCCCCTACGCTAAATGGGTTTAGATTATCCAGAGAAATGGTCATTAATTTCCATCCTTCTTAATAACAAAACCCAACGATATTGGTGGAAAATTACAATGCAAGATACGAAGCTATTTTTTATGAGTAATAACATATATCACACTGATATTTCAAGTTCAAACAGAGTCAAGCTAACATCTTTTAATTATAGAAAATGTCACAAAGCCACAGTGGCGAGAACAAAATATATCACATAATTTTCCATTTCGAGAAAGTTAACACAACACTGTTAAATCTGATCTAACAAATTGACAAAAAGTTTAAATTAAAGAAACCAATTGTCCTTTTCTAACATCAAAGCAAATCCAAATTGAATTTGAAATTGTTATAGAGATTTACTATAAACACTTTATATGAATTACTTTATTTTGATTGTAAATTTTAACACAAGATTACCAAATAAACTTTCCACCCCACCATGTATTACTCTCTTCCTCTTTGATGCTGTTAATTATTATTATAAGTACAGGGTTAACTTTCTAATTTATGAGAAATAGATGGTTAATTAATAGTAATCAGATATAATCTATCTTAGGTCTATATATTTGTCTATGTTGTCTTGCATCATCCAATTTGAACCAATGTAACTACTAACTACCTAGTCTGTGATATCAGCATCTGCTGGAAGCGAATGTTAACTTGTCTTCTATCTACCTACCTACCTTTTGTCTTTGGTTATTATTAAGATAATCATTGCCACTAACAGATAATATTCACTGATGTCTATTGCAAGCCAGGGAATGCTCATTAAGTTAAAAGGTAGAAAAAAAAAGAAAGAAACAATCACTGATTACAACTTAAGTTCATGAGGATCGTTTCTACAAGTGGTCTTTGACAAAACCTCTTTTCTAATCCTGGATTATCTGTATCTACTGGGGGGTTGACTTAAATAATGACAAACCCTTCAAATAAAAGTTCTGAAACCTCCTGCACAAACTCAATTCATTATTTGGTGGAGTATTATGTTATCTAAGTTCTCCCAAATAAGAATGATGTTTTTGATGGGTATATCTCTGTTTCTCCTTATTATAACATAACACTTGTGTTTTCTAACCACACAAAGGTGGTATATTGTACACCAGACCTCGATTGACCCCCGACCTATTATGGTAAAGGTTAGGTCATTTGTTTGCCCAAGTTTCAACTACCTTGTATCAAGAGGTCTTTATTTGCTCAATGACATCTGACAAAATAATTTTTGCGGCGAATTTTCAATGTTCTGTTAAGAAACAAACAGAAAAAATTTCACTGGTTTGGTTTTATTTGATCGATGAGTCAAATAATGTGTAGAAAATGAAGACATCCAATAAAATTATAACATCTTATCAAAGTGGAGGAGTCTTGAAGAGGAAATCTACATATTGACAAGGCAACAGGATAAATACAACAGAAGTACACAACTGAAATATTGACATAAGATAAGCCCACCAACTCTTCAACATCAGTCTCTGAAAACGTTATCCCATCAAAATATTTCCTTGGTTTTTGAGTCTTTGTTCCCTGATAATACTTTCCTAATGCTACTGTATTCAGTATAACATTTCAAACCAAAGTCAGAATTACAAAATCAATCCCAAATCCAGATGACATTAAATAAATCAAAAGGCATAGATAGATTCTGATTTGCATCTTCAGTCAAATAAGACTTCGAATTGATTTCCTTATTTAATTTCATATTTCCTCATGCAGTTTGATTTGTCAAGTACAAAGAGTAAAAATAATATTTTTCTAAAATGCACCTGCCATGCTTAAATTC